GTCATTTATGAAAATGAAAATGCTAATACTTTTATGAATAGAAATTAGAGGTTTTCTAATGACTTAATACCAGTTTGTCTCACATGTCCATAATTAAGTCATAATTAGCTAAATTAAAACAGAATTACAAGCAGAATTCCAATGAGTGACAGGTCAAGAAAGGTAAAAAAATCTTCTTCTTTTTTGTTTATCCAGACTTTTCATACATGGACATTTATGATTGGTTAAAAACTCTTAATTGTATGCAATAAGAATATAATGATATAATTAAGAATACACGATTTTAATTCAACACCAATTAATAGTTTGCTTTATATGTCACTAAAAAATAAGGAAACCCATCTTTAGATAGTTTTGGCCTTCTAAATACTAACTGCAAAATACTTTTAGTTAAAACTTTCAGATAATATAAAGTTTTTTTTGGTATTAAACAATGCTTTTTTTTAACACATATAGATATTTATACAAGGTTTCAAGCTAGGGTATGTTTATCAGGGACACTATTTTTTTATTTGCACAATTCTTTCCCAATGTCTGTAGTTCCTGAAACTCTGTTTTGGCAGAAATTGGCAGATAATCAGAGTATTCTTAATGAAGCTATGTGTCTCTGATACACATACAAAGACTAGAAAACCTCTTCTGAAACCCCGGGAGTAGTACTATTAGTCTATTAAGAGTATCTATTGTGACATTCATACATTAAGAAAGAGATCGATCATGATGACAAGTTTTCTTGGTTTACCAGATCCTTGCTATAAGTACTGGAATAAACTCTTCTCAAACGAAAGCGAAATAATTGAAAGAAGATCAATATTCAAGAATTTCAAGAATCTTTTCAATGTTGGCAACGCTACATGCAGACATGTTTTGGTGATAAATGAGAAAAGGTGCAGCGTGTGTTGCCCTGTCTTGGGTGGGGACAGGTGGATTTTCCCCTATTCCACCCCCACTTAATTTCTAAGAAATTTAAAATTAAGATTTTTATAGCCCCAAGCTATGTAAATTCGTGACATTTGCCCTAATGTATGTATGAATGCACCACATCAATTTCAAACTTTCAAACTAAGTGTTTGATGATGTCACTTATCATGAAGAGCCTTTTAAAGCATATTTTTCAAAGAGTAAAGACATAAAACACTTAGTTTTAGTTGAATTGCAGGAATCACAGACGTCTGAATGAAAAATGGAATAGTGGAATTTGATGCTATCAGTGTCCCAGATACACAAAAAATCTTTAGAAAACCTCTTAACCATCACTTTAAGTACACAAGAAAAGAATTCAATATCATTAGAAATATGATATACACTGTACTGGATCACATTCTCTGATTGCTGAAGTGTCAATATCAAGTCATATAGATAATGAAAATAAAAACTACCGGTAGTACGGTAGTACATGTCGTTACTCTATCAAGGAAGTAATGATTTTAAAGTGATCTAAATATTTGCTTCTCCAGTTGATAGAGCTCAATTGATGGTATTAACTTTGGGTTAACAAAATGTGCAATGGTAACTGCTCTTATGATTAACAATTTTGAATTTTCATTCTGGAGTGATCTGAAATTGTGCTTAAAGATGGGTTCCCTTATTTTCATTTATAAAAATGAAAATGCTAATACTTATAGGAATAGAAAGTAGATGTGTTCTAATGACTTGGAAAAATACCAGTTTATCTCACATGTTCATAATTAATTCATAATTAGCTAAATTAGGAGAGAATTACCAGCAGAATTCCAATGAGTGACCGATCAAGAAAGGTCAAAAAGTCTTTTTTTTATTATCCAGACTGTACATTGTATATGTGGACATTTATGATTGGTTAAAATTCTTAATTATATGCATGTCCATAATTAATTCATTATTAGCTATATTAGAAGAGAATTACCAGCAGAATTCCAATGAGTGACCGATCAAGAAAGGTCAAAAAGACTTTTTTTGATTATCCAGACTGTACATACATAGACATTTATGATTGGTTAAAACTATTAATTATATGCAATAAGAGCATAATGATATGATTAAGAATAAACTAACATGATAATTTATTAGAAACCCCAATTTATCAAATAATTTGCTTTATTTGACACTAAAATATAAGGAAACCCATCTTTAATCGAAGGTTAAGCAGAGATTTAGAAAACTGTATTCCTTTGAAGGTATTAAATCCTTCAAAATCAGATTTTACAGTTTTCTTACATTTTTTTCATGATGATGCCTCTGATATGCCTAAGATATATCTGATGATAATTTACAACATGTCATCTGGATTAAATTTTAAAGGGATTGTTAAGAGGTTTCTACATCTTTTATGTGTATCTGGTGCACAATTCCATCTGTGGTTCCTGCAATTCCATTAAATCTTTGTCTTTGATGACATCACTAATCATGAAGGGCCTTATGTGATAAAGCATATAATTTGTGATTAGTGATGTCATCAAATGCTTAATTTTAGTGGAATTGCAGGAACCACAGATGTCTGATTGGATATTGGAATGGTTCAAATCGATGCTATCAATGTCCCAGATACTCATAAAAAATTTAGAAACCCTTTTTCGATCCTTTTTGTTTTGATTGAAAATTTAGAACTAAGATTATTCAACATTTTGAACAGCAATCAGATAAATATCATTGAGTAAACAAGTTTTAAATTGGATTGTTACCTTGAAATCAATAAGAAACATGACTGTAAATCTACCATATATAATTTGTGTATTAATTTTCTAGACTACCATTATTAAAGAAATTATCTCTTATTGACAAAATGGATTTATATAGCTTATTCTATCATTAAGAGCTTTCCTGTCATTGACCATATTGGTTTTATTTCAATCAATTTTAAAGAACCAATTGAATGCAATAATCACAATTTAGATATAATACACTGAGTAAACTTTCTATTGTTAAAGAGACAGATTTGGCATTTACGGGGTGTGATTTGAGTCTTGAATATATGTAAATAGTATTCAGAATTACTAGAATTGTATGATAATCCCATAATTCCTTCAAAATTACAAACTAGGAATTTCATTCACTATTTCTTTATGTCTTTTCTATATATCACATAGTCTCAAGAAATGACAAGTCATCATTTTAAATTTCAAATGTGGATAAATTTAGACACACATCGATTTGAAGGCTCAAATTTTGACCGTGAGCTATGAACACTAATCTTAGCTTAAAAAAATCCTGTTCCTGAGACTAAAGTTCAATTGGTCAAAAAATTGCAAACCTGTCCCTTTAAAATAGAGCTCAATACATCAATTGTAGAGCGTGTTTTGATATTTCATTGGTAACTTTATACAATTCAACAAAAGCCAAGATTTGTGAGATGTATAGACTTATCACTAACTTAAGATAAGATTAATTTTATTCATATGAAACATTAAAATATATTAATAAAAAAAAATCACTAACTAATCAACAAGATATTTTTTTAATATCTGCATTTAATCTTGCGATCAAGTTTCCAGAGAAAGAAGAATTCCTTGAACTATTTCTGACCTATCATAATGATTAAGGTGGATCAAAAATTTTGATGAAAATTATATATAATTTTTCACCTTAAAAATAATGACATAAAAATCATTATTATTCTTTTTTTAAAAAAAATACTTCACCCAAAGGCATATTTATCACCCTATGTGCACATAATTTTTGTAATCAAAAATAATGACATAAAGATCATATTTATCCTTATTTGGAACAAATTTCATCTGATTTTCTTCAATAGTTCACCCAGGAGCATCTTTATAACCTTCTGTGCACATGACATAAAATGTTTTTCATTGAAAATATTGATTTTTTTATCAAATTCAATTTCTGGCTAAAATTTCTATCTGCATCACTCAAAGGCATAATTATCATCCTCTGTGCACATTTTCATCTGATTTCCTACAATATATCACCTCAGGGGCACTCTCTGCACTCTCTGTGCATTGACATGTACAATAAGGTTTGACAATCAATGTTGTAGTTATCAGTAAACATACAAGATTTCATTTTCAAATATAGGTTCATACTTATAATATATCATACCAAATAGATGGGTTAATTCTTCAACCTTTTTAGAGAGTCCACAATGCTTTTATTGACTTTTCTAATCCACAGAAAAACTAATAATTTTCAGAGATGCTGGGTATTTAAGTAATATAAGTAATAAAATATGGCTGACAATAAGTTACTTCTGAATCTAAGGCACTGGCATGGGCTTGTAAAGTTTAAATAAAATAAACTAAAATATACTACATGTAACAACAAAATAACACATAACACATAGAATTCCCTACAATTATTTTTTCATTGAGCAGGGAATTTAATTGGTTGATTTGGTGAACAACACTTTCTTTCGAATATCATGAGATCTAGATTGAGGGAAATGACCTACAGAAACTAAAAATACAACTATCTAGAGCTTTAGCTATATTTGTTTTAGATTGTACATGAAGCAAATAAAATGAAATTCAAGGATAATGTAGAGTGAAAACAAACAAAATCACAGATACCTTAGTAGAATATCAAATTTACACAATAGATCAACATAAATAGAAAATATGTTTGTTTTTTGATTATTCAGGTGACTCCACTTGCCATCTACAATCTGACCATATTGTTATGCAACATATGTTTTAAGTCATTCAAATTTTCAACCAATCAAATGCTCCATTCAATAATAGATTGTATGATTTGAACAACGTATAGAAGCAAGGAGCACATATAACATCTGATGATGACACGTGTATACTGTATTGAAACGTTATATGTCTAACCTCATTAAAGAAGTGTGTTATATTCCATAATATTGTCTTGTGTTTTGTAATAAAAGATTGACCTTCATTGTTGTACTTGTTTGACAACTTCTGATGTTATTGGGTGGAAATTGGACTGAACATAATTTAAAAAAGAATTGAATCAGATCATGGATGGTGAGTATAGTAACCCACAGAAAAAACATGAAACATCTGTATTGTAATCAGATTGAGAGATATTATACAATAAGAATTTTAACTAACAGTTTCTGTCTTGGCACCAATTCTCATAAGTCTGGTATGTTCTCTCTCATGTTCTCTCAATAAATATTTATCTTCCTTGGACAGTTGACGATGCTGTTGTAATCTTAGATAACTCTCTTCTCTTTTAGTATGTAACTAGAAAATATACACAAGTTTTACTCAATTGCTGGAACCATTTCACAAAAAAATTATGACCACTCGTTAAAAAAAGCATTTCACAAAATATAACTCTTGACCACTCAAAGTAAATAGCCTTTCTCAAAATTAAGAACCACTTGTGATAAATAGAATTTCACAAAAAATTATCGACCACTTGTGGTTAACAGCATTTCTCAAATATTCAGAATTAGCATTTCTCAAAAAAAAATTATTACCACTTGTGGTAAATAGAATTTTACAAAAAATTTACAACCACTTGTGATAAACAGCATTTCTCAAAAATTTAGAATTAGCACTTCTCAAAAAAATCATGACCGCATGTGGTAAATAGCATTTCTCAAAAATTGAACCACTTGTGTGATAAGCATTTCTCAAAAATATTATGACCACATGTGGTAAATAGCATTTCACAAAAAATGTACGACCCTTTGTGGTAAAATAAGATTAAACAGTGCAGAAAACAGAAATACAACAAACCTTTTCTAACTCCGCCTTATCTCTTAATATTTTCTGTTCTAATTGTAACTCTGCTGTATTTCTTTCATTTATTTCTTGTTTCAACTTAGCAGCATTTTTACGTTTCATTTCAGCTAGATTAAGCTCTAAACGTCTAACTTGTTGTTCTTGTTGTTGTCTATCATATTCAGTTGCTCTTACTTTACTGTACAGATCTTGTTCTATATCATCATCCTTATTCACCATTTTCTACACAATAAACCATTGTGACATAAATAGAGAGCTCAAGATCATAAGTAGAGAGCTCAAGATCATAAGTAGAGAGCTCAAGATTATAAGTAGAGAGCTCAAGATTATAAGTAGAGAGCTCAAGATTATAAGTAGAGAGCTCAAGATTATAAGTAGAGAGGTCAAGATTATAAGTAGAGAGATCAAGATTATAAGTAGAGAGCTCAATATTATAAGTAGAAGGCTCAAGATTATAATAAAATTATTAATAATGAAAAAAAAGTTCAAGATAACATGTCCAGTTTTAAAGACATTAAGTACAAGAGAGCTCAAGAGAATAAGTAGAGCACTCAGGATAACAAGTCAAAGCAAAGTCTAAAGATAATAAGTAGAGTGCTCAAAATAATAAGCATGGAGATCAAGATTATAAGTCGAGAAGTCGAGAGGTCAAGATAATAAGTAGAGAGGTCAAGATTATAAGTAGAGAGGTCAAGATAATAAGTAGAAAGGTCAAGATTATAAGTAGAGAGGTCAAGATAATAAGTACAGAGGTCAAGATTATAAGTAGAGAGGTCAAGTTAATAAGTACAGAAGTCAAGATTATAAGTAGAGAGGTCAAGATAATAAGTAGAGAGGTCAAAATTATAAGTAGAGAGGTCAAGATAATAAGTAGACAGGTCAAGATTATAAGTAGAGAGGTCAAGATAATAAGTAGAGAGCTCAAGATTATAAGTAGAGAGCTCAAGATGATAGGTTATGAGTTAATGAAATGTATACCTCAAGTAGAGTGCTCAAGACATTAAATGAAGAGCTCAAAAATGAAATGAAATGAAAGGAGTTTTGTGTCATACTTTTCTGCACCATGTGGGCTAATGAAGACGGGCAACGCCAAGCAGGGTACAATGAGGGAAATTTTGCCAGGACAGCGGCATAAGCCTGCTCTTTTTCAATTTCCAACTTTCAAGGGATCTTTTAACGTGCACAGCCTGTAGCACACAGGGCCTCGGTTAAGTTAAGAGCTCAAGACATTAAGTAAGGATAATAAGTCAAAGGCTGATGTTATCAAGTGTAATTCTAAAGTCAGACATCTGCATTCTATAGATGTATAAGTTTGAAAAGATCAGTAAAATTCTAAAGCATGACTGCTTGTCCTGGTTACTTCCTTTACTAATGTATGACTTTTAAATATTTAATGGGAAATTTTTGATTTCAGTGGCGGCTACAATCCTACAAATTTTGAATACTGATTTTTCAATAGCCTTTATAGCCTTCATTGTAAATACTCTTTAATTAGAATCTTATATAATGAGCCTGTTTCCAATACAAACTAATAAATATAGTTCTATAACATCTTGCTTAAAGATGGGTTCCCTTATTTTCATTTATGGAAATACTAATACTTATAGGAATAGAAAGTAGAGGTGTTCTAATGACTTGGAAAAATACAAGTTTGTCTCACATGCCTTAATTAATTCATAATTAGCTAAATTAGAATGGAAATTAGCAGAATTCCAATGAGTGACCGATCAAGAAAGGTTAAAAAAAATTTGTTTGTTTATCAAGACTGTACATATGTGGACATTTATAATTGGTTAAAATTCTTATTTATATGCAATAAGAACATAATGATAATTCATTAGGAACACCAATTAATCAAATAGTTTGCTTAATTTGACACTAAATAATAAGGAAACCCATCTTTAAGGGGAAATCTTCTGCAATTGTATGAGGCAATTTTATTTGTCTACATAATATTTGGACAAATCTTTGACAATGATCTGGACAAAAAATAAATAAACTTTTGGTCTTATTGTTACAATAATTATGGATATGGACCAGTAAAAGTTATCCATTTGAATGAAAGGAAACTAGAACGGATGAAGTTTTGAATTTATTCCTAAATTAACTAAAAAGTTGGTTTCTCAAAACTCCTCATTAGTGCCAAATGCAAAAAATCCCAAGAAAATATGTTGGTTTAACAATGCATGTATAACATAAAAAATTTAAAAGAAAAAATGCAAATTTAAACATTTCAAATCTTTACAATATTTTTCTATAAAATGTACCAGCTAGAAGTTATTTTCAGTAACTACTGTTACCTTCTTAATAGGATACATTTTTTCTCGCAGCCTTTGTCACAATTATATTTCTAGATTGTTAAAGGGATTGCAAAGAGGTTTTCTAAATCTTTATATGTATCAGGGACGCTGATAGTAAAAAGGGATTGTAAAAAGGTTTTCTCAATTTTGTATGTATGTTGAGGACTCTGATAGCATCAATTTGCACCATTCCAATTATCAAACAGATGTCTTTGGTTCCTGCAATTCTACTAAAACTAAG